GTAAACCACTTAGAGAGGGCTGTAAAGCACTGAGAAGCGATATATAAGTCGAAGTGCTATTCAGAGGTGGTATTCAGCCAGTTTGGACCGGTTCGCCTGAACCGGTAACGGAAAGTGCAGGTGGGCCTGCCCATTCGCCCCTGCTCTATGCCATCCTATTTAGGCATGTTTTCGAGGCCAGGCACATGCGCAGAAAGTGCATGCACGAGCAAAGTGGATGCTTGGAAGGCGGGCGCACACACGAACCAGGCGCACATGTGCACGAAGCGAGCGTGTGTGCAGTGAACCGGTAGTAACATAATCTGAAACCCACCACTGGTGCTATTGCTATTGCTAGTATAGATCTATTTCAAGCTATTTAACCCTCGTCAGCTAACCATTTGCCCTTCTGGGATTCGAACCCAGGCTGCTTACATATTAGGTAGGTGTATTAACCTCTAAGCCATGGGCTCTCCTAGTTTTGTTGGTTATACCAGGGAAGAGATTGTTTTTTATCAGGGCAACCTGGTTTACCAAATATGGGATGGAGCATACTGCTTCCACTTTTGCCTTTCAGCCCCAATCCACAGATAGTCATTTTTGTGACTCAGTCTTGGGCTTTGTCTAAGAAGGACATATATGGTTATAAATAAATACACTTATATGCTTCATTTTATAAATCATATTTTGGAAAGAAAGCAAAAACTTCCAGGGGAAGTATATTGTGGTGACACCACAGATGATGGCTCTTAATTCCAAGTCATAGAAAAATTAACTTTTTCCAATTAGTTCCTCCTATTAGTTTATGTCCAAAGCCATGCTGGCTGAGTATGATTGGGATTGTAGTCCAGTGCATCCTGGACACCAGAAGACTGATGAGGAACAACCTAGACCAGCGGTCACTAACTGGTGGTCCATGGACCACTGGTGGTCCTTGAGAAAATTTTGGTGGTCCTCAGAAAAATTATTTGAATTTTTTATATTGCTCTAAATCAGGAGTCCTCAAACTACGGCCCCTAGGACAAATACGTGCAATGAACATTTGTGTTGCTGCAGAGAGTCTCCCCCTTCAGGGTCTTTTTGTGTGGGTTGAGAGGGACAGAAATTCTGTTGTGGGGTCTGCTTCAGCCTCCTCCTAGGGCTTTCAGCGAAGGCTGGAGGGAAGTGCCGCTGGTGGTGAAGAGCCAGAGGGCCTTGTTCCAGTGGGACTGCATCATGGCCCGGACCTGGCTGACCATCTCAGCCTGCTGAGCCTCCAGGTGCCAGTACCTGGCCTTGCACTCCCATAGGTCTTCCCTCTACTTGGAAAGCGTATGCTCCTAGTCCACAGTGAGGTGCTTCTGCTGAGCCTCCTTCTTGGCCAGATCCAATTTGAACTGAGCTGTTTTGCCAACTCTTTCTCATGGTGGCTGCTTAGCTCCAACAACTGCTTCCTGTTGGGGCCTTAAGGAGCCCAGGCGGGTAGGGGAGGAGTGGCTGGGAGGCGAGGGGTGAGTAGAGGCCAGTGAGGCGTCCCTTGACAAGAGTGACATCAAGTTGGCCATGCCTACCCAGTCACATGACCATCTAGCCACGCCCACCCAGCCGGTCATTAGGCAGATCATATTAGTGGTCCGCGGGATTTAAAATTATGAATTTAGTGGTCCCTGGGGTCCAAAAGGTTGGGGACCCCTGACCTAGACTTTGGGTTCTATGCTGTGCAGTGTTTATTTAGCCATGGTTTCACTAAATTTAGCCATGCTTTCACTGGATTCAAGGTAGAAATAAAAAATGAACTACCTCTCACACAGCCTCTGAGGAATCATATGCTATAATGCAGACTCCTGCTCTTTCACAAATTTGCAGATGCCTGTTTGCCAACGCAATGACATCCCTGGAAAGGGACAGGCCTGACTTTTTGGTTTATTTTTCTTTTGGGAGGAGTGTCATGCCACACCATATAACTTTATATACTGTTGTTGCCCTCTAGCCCCATCTAGTGGAGACAAATATGACCCAAGTATATTGTTTTGAAGCTGACCCAACCCATTTTACCCATCAGCCCACGTTCTCGAACCAAGTGCCCACTGGGAAACCAGATCCCATTTCCTTTAACAGAAGGCAGAAGCACATGGTCATTCAAGGACAAACATACATCCCACACAGAGCATCGCTGGTGAGGTTTAAATTGCTTGTATTTATTAATTGTTATGTTCAGCAGTAACTTAATACTGTCTACCTTGTATTTGGTTCTCATTGTATGTATCCCTAATTTCCCCAGTTTCACCATATCCTGTTCTTTCAATAAAGCATTCAGATCTACGCACGGGGTCTGTTTTATTGGAGGATAGGTGAGTTTAGCTGCATGTCGAGCTGCACACAGACTAACGTGTAGTGGGGACAGAACAAGGAGAGTTTTTGGGTTGGTTGTTTCTCAAAGTTCTCTAGTTACAATTCCCATCCTAATCACACCAAAAGGACACTGAGAAAGAAACTGATCCCTTCCTCATCCTTAAAAATCCCTATTTACTCTCAAATATACAACATCATGGCATCCAAACTTAGCAATTTCGCCAGTCAATTTTGATACTCAGATCTTGGTGGCTACAGTCTTGGTTGCCCAAACCTTCCAAAAAAAAAACAAAAAACCCACTGTTAAAAATTGTGGGTGTATTTTGAGCTTGGTGGTTTTCTTGCAAATGTTTCATTACCAAACTCGATAACATCCTCAGTGTTAAGAAGGAGGGGTTCTTGTGTCTGCTAAGTCATATCTAAAGAAATCACGTTATATATTAATGAGTTTGTCAAATTGGGACATAAATATTCTCCGTATATAACAACAAGGCACAGACAAATGTAACATATATTTTGGGTCTGGTTTCTGGATTCTAGATTTATTATTACTCAAAAGAACTACCTCAGGCCACAGATCAAACGTGCAATACACAACCACTTTAAAATCTTCATGGGGCTAGGTTATTATTTTGAATATGGCAACAGAGGGAAATACTAAATCTGTTAAGAATAAACTTTTGAACTGTGCTTCATGAAATTTAAAATTAAAATGAGATTTTGTTGTGATCCTGACTGCTTATTTAACCAAGCCCTGCCTGACCTCTTGGGTATTCAGACCTTAGGAGAACTTTGAAATGCCAGGTGCATCACTTCACCCAACAAAGTAGTTGAACATCATTGATTTATAACTTTCACTCACAATTTTTTTTCCTGCAAATTTAGTTTGCAGTGCTAGAACTGTTGATACCTGCGTGGAAAGCTAAAGAAAGTTGCAGGAGACGAATTCCTGTCGAAGTGCGGCAGCATCCAGAAAAGGTGCTAGTAGGGCTTGTAAAGTAATCTCAAGATTATTTCATTATCCAGAGTCTTGAATCCTGTGCTCCCTGCACATGTGAAGCTTTTCAGATCTTTCCTGTCTCTGGTTCACTTCTCCTTGCATGCATAAGTCCATCAAACAGAGGCTCTTCAGAGGTGCAATCCATGAATGGCTGCGGTTGAAGAAAAAGTCAACATATTAACTCAGAAACACTCTTTGTGCAGGGAACTCTCTAAATCCTACTCCATACATATAAAGCTGAGCGCAAATTGCCTTCTGGAATTCAAGTTCAATAGCAGAGAAATTGAATATGCATTTATTCTGAACTTTTCCAGAAAAAAGAGACTTTCTCAAGGACAGAGCTTCCCTTAGTGATGGCAATCAAGTCACCATTGTAAATTCCAAAATGAATTCTCTCATTATATCATTTCTTGGGATTTAATAGAAGTATAGAAGACTGCTGTGATAATACAGTGAAAGATAGGTCATTGATATGTACATCAAAGAGAAATAATTGTTCCTCGCCATTCTTCATTAGACTGCCTTCAGACACAATGTGTCCAGTTCTGAGCACACAGCTTAATAAAGATATTGACAAAGTAGAGCTTGGCCAGAGAAGAGCAATCAAGATGATAAGCTGAAAGGAAAACCATATGAAGAATGGTTGGAGGCATCAGATGAGTTTAAGTCTGGAGAACAAAAGTTTGCAGAAACTTGAATTGTCTTCAGAAGAATATAAGCAGTACTTTACTGGTTCAAATTCATTGCCCATGTAGTCCTGCAGTCTGTTCTCAGGGTGGCCAACAACTGCATAAGGAAGTTCACTAGTTTCTTAGCAGATGGCCTTCAGAGGCAGTCACAAGTGGGTGTTATGGGTGGGTGTGAAAGAGTGGTGTAAAGGTGTGGGCACCAGAGTCCGAAGTAACAGACCCAATTCAATCAAAACTCTGAGGCCTGGGGTTTCCTCAAAGCACGAGTTTATTAGGCATGTCATATTGGCACAGCTGGTGAAAACCTGACTTTGAAAGACCCGACGTTTTCCCCACCCAAATCAAAACCCAAAGTTCTTTCCCCCACACCCATCACATGGTCCAGTCAGGTCACCGTCCCAACTCCAGTTGGCGTCAGTCCACGCCTCCCCAGCACCTGGTGGGAACGTCCTTGGTTCACAGGAGAAATAATTTTATTTTAGCTACAAGTCCCCAGCTATCTCCCTTTCCCACATCTCCAACCGGCCTCACTGTGGCAGCCTTGAAGATGCTCCAATATGGCTTCATGGCTGACAGGTGGGTTCTATAGAGTATAGACAGGCGCTATGGGGTGCAGGATCCTCCTACCATCCAGGGAGTCTTTGGGAGAAAAAGTGGCTGGAGCAACTTGCAGGAGCCACTTACTGCGTGGACCTCCCACAGACTTTCTCATTGACTTTGCTTATGGGAAACTGGCATGGAAGGTCCCAAATGGTGATCAACAGGACTGTGGGACACTGCAATGTTGCAATTGTGCAATTGTGGTTGCCAGATACCAAATCACAATCATGTGAAACTCTGCAAGTGATGTAACTGATGTTTTGAATGGTCACTGAAAAAAGGGATGTAATCAGTGGTGGGTTCCTCCCGGTTCGGTCCGGTTCGGTATGACATCACCGAACCGGTTCTCCCCCTCCCCGCCCTCCCACCCCCCCACCCCCCCACATTATTCTTACCTTTTATTTGGTCCCACCCCCAATCTATTGCTGCCTCCTGAGTCCCAGCTGATGACTAGAGTGAAAAAAACTGTTTAAACTCTTGCCGCGGGGCTTCAAAGGGCCGTCCTACAGCTGATCAGTGTTAAAAGCAAACAAATAAGTCGGATCGTAAGTGCGAGGACTGGCCGTAAGTGCGAGGACCTTCCAGAAATGACTCTGACCAGGTAGCCACACCCACCTAGTCACATGACCTCCAAGCCACACCCACAAAATAAGCCACGCCCACAGAACCAGTAGTAAAAAAATTTAGAACCCACCCCTGGATGTAATCTTATCTGAATGGCCGTCATGTAAAAGATGGATATAATTATTCATTATTATTCATAAAACAGGACAGGAAACAATGACTTATTTACAAGGAAGTACATTTCAGTAATTCAGCATCATGAAAAATGTCTGAACGATAAGAAGTGTTCAACAATGGGACAGACCTGCCTCAGGAGATCTTCTTTTGCTAGATGTTGTAAAACAGGCCTATCAAACTTGCGGCCCATGAGCCGGATGTGTCACGTGCTGGCCATGCCCATGCCCGGTTTAGCGAAGGGGGGGAAAGTCGTGATACATCACATGACGCCACCATGACACCGCGTGTTTGACAGCCCTGTTCTAAAGAGAATCTGGATGGCCATTTTGAAAACAAATTCTCCCGATAACAACTATGTGGGAAGCAAATTGTTTACAATGGTTTACAATGCTATTTGGATTTTTAAGAATCTATATTCTTATATGATTATGCCTTTAAATTAACATGTTTGTTGCATCATTTAACTGGAGATTTGTGAGAAACTGTTGCTTTTGTAAAGATGACATTCAACCTCCTCCGTGAAGTTCAGTCCAGATGTATGGAGGTCCCAGATCACCATGAATTCCTTTCTCCCTACAAAGAAAAGGCTACTATGAAATATTTGTTCAGTCACACAATTAAGTACAGACTAGACTAGAAGTGGCAACCTGTTTAGATAGATGGGTGTTTGCAGGGTATGATTTTTAAAAAAGTCAAGGCAATGGCAATCAAAACGCCACCATCTTGATTTTTTTTACTGTATCCTGTGGACACCCCTGTTGGGATAATTATTTTGAATTAAACACATAGTTCTATCAGCCCAAGCACTCTTTTTGTGCCTGCCTGAGTGTTTGTGCTGCCAATGCAAAATCCCACCCCTATGCAAGGAGCAATTTGGGGACAAAAGGTTATTGGCCTCCCTCTAGATTAGGGATGTCCAATCCTGGACTTCAACTCCCAGAATTCCCCAATCACAAGTCTTAAAGTTGCCAGGATTGGACACCCCTGATTTAGATCATTACACACACACTCCACCTGACAACTGTTACTTACATTTTAAAAATCAAAACTGATATGACTGTTCACCACCCAGAGTCACTCGTTTGAGATGGGTGGCTACACAAATTGAATGAATGAATGAATGAATGAATGAATGATGCTGTTGAAATGACCTATAATTTCTGCCAAACTTTAGCAATGTGGTCTGGTGGCCCTTAAATGTTTCCAGGTGGTCAACTGTTTGCAAATCTCAAACAGGTCATAGGCTGCTACAAGCAGATTTTGGATCATGTGAACTAAGTGGGTAAATCATGATTTATAGTTTAGGATGAGCCATTTGTGGGTTATTCAAGCATATCAATGACAAGCATATGTGCGAATGGAAAGTAGAAGATCAGACAGAGAGAAACACTAAAGGAACTTTCCCATTTGTAGCAGACATGTTCTTTTCACCAAAAATAACAGCAACTACCTAATTTTGGCTGAGGTCAAAATATTAACCAGATTGGGATGGATTGGTGCTTAGATGGTAGACCACCAGACTTTTGGTTAGATCAGAGAGTTGTAAAAGCTTACTGGACAGCATTGTCTGCCATGGTTGGGTTGGGGAATAATGAAAAACAAGACAGTGTTGTTGACAAATGCACCCCTTTATCAATGTGCATTGTCAATGTCTGTCAGAGTTTGCAGCACATCTGACCAGCACACAAGTAAATGAACTTCAGCAGGATTCAGCATATCAGGAACACAGAAGCAATATTCATAGAAGCAAGTCATTACAGAGTAGAAAGATTCAGAGGCTAATATATTGTACAGAGGCTCACATTACAGAGACCAAACCAACCCTTCTATACAGTTCAGCAAGTCTAAGCCACGACCAGACTCCAAACGGTCTCTTATGGCCCCATGCAAACAAATACTATGTTTCAGTTTCCAAACAGTCCCCAATGGCTGGGGACTGTTGTTGCCATGTCTATTCCAGTCTATGAATATTCATACTCTGACAATGTCAGTGTAACTACAACAGGGGTGAGGCTTCCTTTTGCTGCTACATCTGCCATCTTGCTTTTTTTTTTTTTTTTTACCTTTCCTGAAGATACTGAGCTTGGATATGGACAATGGCAAACTATTTGTATTTTATTACAAAAACTATCCAAATGAATCCTTGAAGCCATCAGAAGGTCAGCTTGACTTCAAGGAGATAGTTTTAAAAACATTTATTTGTACCTATCACATTTACCAGGGCCTTTAGCTTCCTGCTTTTTTGGGAATCGAAAGGCCCTGGGAGATAATCTTACTAAATCCTTATCATTATACCCTGATAACAACTCTGAGAGGTGGAAACTTTCCAAATCACCCACTGAGATAGATATATCCCCTTTTTCTCTCTCTCCCCTTTGCTTGCTAATGAATCTATCAATGGTTTTACTAAAGTGATATTTTAATTGCATAGAAAACCATTCTCTTTCCATGGACCTATTTATCCCTCAAAGTGAGACGGATGTTTGTTTTAACAAGTGTTCTTGTCTTCTTTTATTTTAAAGAAACTTGCTGGGATCAAGTCTGAAAAGCTCCTCCAATATTGCTGTCTCTGTTCACAGCTGTTCTTCTCTCCCTCCCTTCCAATAATTAAATGAAAACAAGCTTGAACATCAACAAAAGTAAAAAAAAAAAAAAAGCTTCTTCCAACATGTTAAAAACAAGAGAAAAGTCAAGGAAACAATTGGTCCATTGCTGGGAGAAAGCGGCAAGAAGGTGACAAGCAACAGGGAGAAAGCAGAACTACTTAACTCATTTTTTGCATCTGTCTTTACACAAAGGGAAAAAACAGTCCAACCTATCAAAAACAGCACCACAAAAAACAGACTAGGAACACAAGTGAAAATAGGGAAGAAAATGGTAAGTGACACCTGCCTATCCTAGACGAGTTCAAATCACCAAGACCAGATGGACTACAACCCAAGGTTCTGAAGGAACTGGCAGACAAGATCTCAGAACCACTGAACTATATCTTTCAAAGATCCTGGAGCACCAGGGAACTGCCAAAGGACTGGAAAAGAGCTGATGTAGTTCCAGTCTTCAAAAAAGGAAAAAAAATAGATCCAGGAAACTACAGGCCTATCATCCTGACCACAATACCAGGGAATATTCTGGAAAAGATAATCAAGCAACGAATCAGTGAATACCTACAAGCAAACAAGGTAATAACCAAAAGCCAACATGGGTTTGTCAAAAACAGATCATGCCAGACTAATCTTATTGCACTCTTTGATAAAGTGACAAAATTAGTGGACCAGAGGAATGGTGTCGATATAATTTACTTGGACTTCAGTAAGGCATTTGATAAAGTAGACCACAACCTACTACTAGATAAAATAGAAAAATGTGGGTTAGACAGCATCACCACCAGATGGATTCGTAACTGGCTGACCAACCACACTCAACGTGTAGTCCTCAATGGAATTGCATCTACATGGAGAGAAGTATGCAGTGAGGTACTCTAAGGCTCTGTTTTAGGCCCAGTACTCTTCAACATCTTCATCAATGATTTGAATGAGGGGATAGATGGGGAATTCATCAAATTTTCAGAAGACACCAAGCTAGCAGGAATAGTCAACACTCCGGAAAATAGACTTAAGATACTTGATCTTGACAAAAGATTTGCACCCAACATCACCTTGATTTCTTCAAAAATAAAAATGGTTGGTGTCTACACCTTAATGTTTTGGGTTTTTTTGGGGGGGGGAAGGCATCCAGTTGTTCCCACTGCATCCCAAACAAGACAAAGCATACCTGTAGATAGATAGTCTACAAAAAAATCTCAATTTTTTTAAAAGTTAAGATTCTTTCAATCTTCCAATCTATCCTTCACTCCCAAGATTTCCTGATGTTCTCTTGGGATGATATGGATCATTCAATGGCTAACAAAATCAGGTTCTGCTTAGTTGTTTTTTTCTGAGATAAGCCAGGATCAACTAGCAGCTACCATCTGTTGCATTGTCTTCTGGTAAGTGGCCATATCCACTTGTTGACTTTTTGTGAGTGCTCCACAAAACTTTCATTGCTGTGCTGCTTTTCTTCTGCATTTTGACACAATAGTTGGCTTGGTAAAGGGCTCTGTAAACGCATCCTGTCCTCTGCATTTTGGCTTCAGAGGGCAGAGATGAGTTAACTCAATTTAACACCCAACATTTAACTGTAGGGTCTGAATAACCAAAAGCAATGTTGCAAACTTGACTTTGGAAAGATGCAACTGGAAATTGGTTGAGCAAGGCAGACAAATTTGGAGCTGGATCCAAATGGCTTTTCCAAATTCTCCACCAGATGTGTGGGCAGAGGGACTGGGGAAGAAAGCATTTCTCTGAATTTATCCAGGGGAAAGAGAAATTCTCTGATTATTGCTCAAGGATAGGAATCTGACTTCATACTTACTGGTCATACCACTGCTTAAAAGCCCCCCAGAGGAGCTGTGTCATCATGCTGCCTTCCCTTGGGATTTAATGGAAGCATAAATCCCTTACCATTTAACCCTAAGAGGAGCTGCAGACTGCTAAGCTGATTATATAGTACAATGGAAGAAAGGACACT